CTTATGATTAATACTTACAGGCCATCACTGCTCTCTTTTAACCCCCAAATAAAAAAAAATTAGAGGTCTCACCATGTTCTTCTATGTTCGCGTATAGGGGAGATGGTAGAAGAAGCTATCTAAGAATTTAAATTAGAAGAATATTGTGATGAACTGGATCTTGCCACAGGTCCCTGGGGGACGGGAGGCATACTTGCTGAAATGTCATTGCCTTATGATTAATACTTACAGGCCGTCACTGCTCTCTTTTAACTCCCAAATAAAAAAAAATTAGAGGTCTCGCCATATTCTTCTATGTTCGCGTATAGGGGAGATGGTAGAAGAAGCTATCTAAGAATTTAAATTAGAAGAATATTGTGATGAACTGGATCTTGCCACAGGTTCCTGGGGGGGTGGGGGGGATACTTGCCAGCCTCTTGCCCTGTGACTATGGCCCCTGTGATAAAACTTGGTTTAAATCACTATTTGTGCATGTTGGGACATGGTGGGACTTATAACAGGAGCCATTCAACTTATAACAGGAGCCATTCGAAGTGCCCTTCGACCACATGGTGGCAGCCATCTTGTTTGTATGGACCAAAACCTCGAATAGACTTCAGGGGGACTTAGCCGCAAATGCCCTGGAACTAACTTTGGCATAAAAACCTTGCAGTTCCCAGTCGGCACTCCAGCGGCACTTAGCCGCAATTCTATGGAACTATTTTCGGCTATGGAACCATAACAATTATGACTTCCATAAAATTTCAGATTTTTTTTATATATTGGTCACTAGAGATGTCGCGAACCGTCCACGAACTTCTCGCGAATGGTTCGTGGCGAACTCCGGTCAGCTGACACATCCCGGCCAATCTCCAGCAGACCCTCCCTCCCAGACCATCCTACTTCCTGGACAGCATCCATGTTGAAGGCAGCTCAACAGGGATTTTATGTGGTTTTAAGGTATTTTGGGGGGGTTGTAAAAATGTGTTTTTTTGTGTTTGGAGATAATTGAGTTTAGTATAGTGCTTGACTCAATTATCTCCTAAGTAAAGGTGAAGGCTTATTGTGTTGTATGTCCATGTGGGTGTCACCCTTGCATGGGGACTTGCATAAAAGGCAAGTGTGCCTACCATCAAACCAGTCTTACTTCACCCTCAATCTAGAGTTCTGTCTCTTATTGTAAGGAACTGCTATACAGCTATCACTACTAGCTCTTGTAAGAGCTTCACAGCTATACTTTCTTGGAGGAGAGGTTCACTCACTGGAACCTGTATCCTGGTCTTGGGTCCAGAGTGGGTGGAAAACCCCAACCAAGCTGCGGCGGTTCGAGGGGTCTATGGTGTCCGGTGCGGTGCTTATGGTCCTCAGCGTCAGCTATGAAGCATCTATTGACGGAGGTACCCAGTTGGGGGGCCAGGCGGTCCGTTACCAATATAATCAGAATTCTGAAGCTGATTAAAAATAAATAATAAAAGATTACCTGAAAACTGTCAAAATAATGCTCAAGCAGCTATATTTTAGCAGAGAGGATAAATTTCAGACCAACGCCAAAAAAACCCGCTCCAAAATATATTTTTAAAAAAGTGTATTTTCATTTAAGAAGATCCCGGCTGCGCGCATGTGCTGTAGAAATTTGGAGCGGGCGTCCAGTAGCCCAGCAGCTGCAAAGTCTAGACGGGGAAGAAAGACAGAGCTACCTTTTCATTGCAGATGAGATAATCAGAACCTCTCTTCACAAAAAGGAAACTGGAAACAGTGGCCATTATGAGTCCCTAAGACAAAAAAGCCCTAAAGGTCCTAATAAATAGATTGCTTCCCCCCTTACCCTGCAGTTGAGGGGAATTACAGAAGACTGCTGCTCCACGCTGTATCCAGGTACAATCCATTATTGTATATTGTAGGATTGTTGAACCAGTTAGTCCAGCCCATTGCACCCATGCGTTAAGACAATCCTGCCAGTTAGTCCTGCCCATTGCACCCATGCGTTAAGACAACCCTGCCAGTTAGTCCTGCCCATTGAACCATACTCGCCTTCAAGATTTCTCGAGGGCTGCACCTGTGGAACTCTCTTCCCTCCTCCGTTAGATGCTCACCCAATCTCCACTCCTTCAAAAAATCGTTAAAAACCCACTTCTTCATAAACGGATATCAATTAAACTGTTACTAGCTCCTGACTGATTCCTCTTCTGCAACTGTCACTAGTCTAATTCTATCCTTACCTTTTTGTGTCATTTTACCTCACTCCCACTAGCATGTAAGCTCATTGAGCAGGGCCCTCAACCCCTCTGTTCCTGTGTGTCCAATTTGCCTGGTTACAACTACATGTCTGTTCGTCCACCCATTGTAAAGCGCTGCGGAATTTGATGGCGCTATATAAATATCATAATAATGCGTTAAGGCAGCCCTGCCAGTTAGTCCTGCCCATTACACCCATGCGTTAAAGCAGCCCTGCCAGTTAGTCCTGCCCAGGCAGGCTCTTTGCTGGTTCCTTCAGGGGAGAAAGGATGAACCCCCCCATGATAAAAAAGGTAGGTGACACCTAAAACAAAATCAGTATATACAGGTAAATAAACTATCCTGCCTGTCAGCTGGGACTGGAACAAAAGACTGGGGCGCTCGAGGGGAGGGATCCTTTATAACAGAGGTCCATTCATTAATCAATGAATTATTCCTGTCCTGACAGCTGGGGAGGAGCTTTACCCCTACGTGATGCTCCATGTTTACTAGTTTGTGACATTCTGAGGAGAGCTGTCCGTGCTGGCATTCTGTGACTTTGTGTGACATGCTGTGTGCCAGAGTTTGCCATTTTCTGCTCTTTTCTTGATAATTAATTGATGTTGCTAAACTCTTTCTACAGGTCACTAATTACAATGGGCATTCTGACTGCGACTGGCTCGGCCTGTGCCGGTTACATTATGAGCATGGCAGTGCTGAGTCCGTGCCCGCCTCTCCTACAAACCAACATTGGGGGCACATTAATGGTAAGTACTGTGAAAGCTGTAAGAGACGGGTCTCCCTGCCCAGTGCTGCCCAACTCTGGCATGGAGAGCACCTTCCTAGCCTCTAGTTATTGTAGACAGTCTAATATCTGACATTGGAATAAATACTTGGAAAATAAATGATTTTGGGTTGTTGATATTATTCATGCCATATCTTTTTTATCTTGCATTCACAATAAAAATAGTTTTGGAACAAAAATAAAAAGAAATGAATTTGGTTACACTACACACTCAGACAAAGCTCTGCACCATTGAAGTTGATGCTTTTTCGTATTCAAAGTGTTTGCAGCTTGCCACCCTCCTCTGCTTCGACACAGAGAGAGTTCACTTAGCGAGAGCGCTGCCGTGCTGCATGTTGGGGAAAAACGAATGAAACCATGGCAGGATGAACGTGTGTAGTAAGATCCATCACCGTGCACACTGCGGACGTGGTGAACAGGTGCAGCAGGTGTGGCGTAGAGGGCGAGGTTTGAGTTAGTTACACTCTCTAATCAGATCTCCACGTGTGTCTAGACCGGAGACAAATATTATGCTTATTGTCTCTTTCCTAATAACAGAAAAATACAACAAAAGAAACTCAATGTAAGAAGTCTAGCCGAGGCACCATAAAACTGCCGTCCTGGTGGTTATGATGTCATTAGGTTGCTTCATGCAGTCTGACTAAATTTTGTGTGTCCTTGAGGCATCCACAACGCAGCCCCGGCTTGTCACCATTGCTCATAATATTTTAAAGCTTTTCATTGGCTGAGTGTGTCAGCTGACCTGCACAGTGTTTGAAGAAGATGGCGAATTCAGAATAATGGCACCATAACCACCACAGCAGTATGCGGTTTATATAGCGCCAATGTAGTATTAATATTGTAAATAAGCTGGCACTACATAAATGATAATAATATGCATCCTATATTCCTACCTAAAATCTGTCTTCTCTTACTGCATTAGGCAGTCATCTTGTGTGCGTGTGTAAATATATTCACTGATCAGCCACAACATTAAAGGACCACTCTAGGCACCCAGACCACTTCAGCTTAATGAAGTGGTCTGGGTGCCAGGTCCTTCTAGGGTTAACCCATTTTTTTTATAAACATAGCAGTTTCAGAGAAACTGCTATGTTTATGAATGGGTTAAGCCTTTCCTATTTCCTCTAGTGGCTGTCTCATTGACAGCCACTAGCGCTTGCGTGCTTCTCACTGTGATTTTCACGGTGAGCACGCATAGCAAAAGCGTAAATGCTTTAGTTGATCCGGAGCGATAGCGGCGTCGCATTCAGCAGGAGAGGAAGGAAGCGTTTTAACCCTTTCCCCTTTCCAGAGCCGGGCGGGAAGGGGTCCCTGAGGGTGGGGGCACCCTCAGGGCACTATAGTGCCAGGAAAACGAGTATGTTTTCCTGGCACTATAGTGGTCCTTTAAACCATTGACTCCTGTCACGGGGTGGGATATATTAGGGAGTAAGTTAAGTCAGTTCTGGAATTTCATGAGTTGGCAGGAGGAAAAATGGGCAAGGGAAAAGATCTGAGTGACTTTGACAAGAGCCGAATAATGATGGCTATTGTCAGACCATCTCCAGTGCGGCAAGTCTTGTGGGGTATGGCTGATCCGTGTATATAATATTCTATTTATGTAACAGGTGTACTCAGTACACTCAGTTCCTCAATTTACATTATGTTGGATAAAGTGGAAATAAAGTGCTGAATATAGTATTTTAAAAAGCCAAGTATATCATCGATTTGTGATATTTTTGAAGTGATATTTCTGAAACGATATTGATCAGTTCTTGATTAAGCCTCTAATGGAAGTAATGTAATCAATTCAAACTGACAAAAGGCTTATTGGGAGCCAATAAACATGATCAGCCCCCTTTCTTACATTTTAGTTTTTCCCGCCCCCTTTCTTACGTTCTAGTTTCCTGCCCCCTTTCTTCCGTGCTAGGTTCCCGCCCCCTTTCTTACGTTCTTCATTCCCGCCCCCTTTCTTTTGTGCTAGTTCCTCGCCCCCTTTCTTTCGTTCTAGTTCCCCGCCCTCTTTCTTACGTTCTTCATTCCCACCCCCTTTCTTACAGTCTAGTTCCCGCCCCTTTCTTTCGTTCTAGTTCCACACCCCCTTTCTTTTGTTCTAGTTCCCCGCCCCCTTTCTTTTGTTCTAGTTCCCGCCCTGTTTCTTACGTTCTTCATTCCCGCCCCCTTTCTTACAGTCTAGTTCCCGCCCCTTTCTTTCGTTCTAGTTCCCGCCCCCTTTCTTACATTCTAGCTTCCGCCCCTTTCTTACATTCTAGTTTCCTGCCCCTCTTTCTTCGCTAGTTTTCCGCCCCCTTTCTTACATTCTAGTTCCCCGCCCCCTTTTTTTATGTTCATTCCGCCCCCTTTTTTTACGTTCTTCATTCCCGCTCCTTTCTTATATTCTAGTTTCCACCCCTTTCTTACATTCTAGTTTCCCGCCCCTTTCTTACGTTCTTCATTTCCGCCCCTTTCTTTCGTTCTAGTTCCCCGCCCCCTTTCTTTCGTTCTAGTTCTCCGCCCCCTTTCTTACATTCTTGTTTCCTGCCCCCTTTCTTACATTCTACTTTCCCGCTCCCTTTTTTACGTTTTTGTTTCCCGAACACTTTCTTATGTTCTAGTTTCCCGCCCCCTTTCTTACGTTCTAGTTTCCCGCCCCTTTTCTTACGTTCTAGTGTTCCGCCCCCTTTCTTATGTTCTAGTTTCCCGAACCCTTTCATACATTCTAGTTAGATGTACAGTATCTGCCGCAGACCTGCTTCAATATTAAGTGATGACAGAAGTTGATTTTTTTTTTGATTTCCTAAATCTGGAAAGTTGGGAGAGAGATATCCACCGATTGTAGGAGATGTACGAGAATTGAGTCATTTATTACACGTGAGTTTACAGAGGAAGAGGTTCTATTTCAACTGTCAAAAGTAAAGACAAATAAGTCAATGGGACCTGATGGAATACACCCAAAGCTATTAAAAGAGCTTAGTGGTGTACTAGCAAAACCATTAACAGATTTATTTAACCAATCATTGTTAACAGGAGTAGTCCCAGAAGATTGGAAGTTAGCGAATGTTGTGCCCATTTACAAGAAAGGTAATAGGGAGGAGTCGGGCAACTATAGGCCAGTAAGCCTTACTTCAGTAGTGGGGAAAGTGATGGAAACCATGTTAAAGGATAGGATTGATGAACATCTAAAAACACATGGATTTCAAGATCAGAGACAACATGGGTTTACTTCAGGGAGATCATGCCAAACTAATCTTATTGATTTTTTTGATTGGGTAACTAAAATTATAGATCAGGGTGGTGCAGTAGACATTGCTTACCTAGATTTCAGTAAGGCTTTTGACACTGTTGCACATAGAAGGCTTATCAATAAACTGCAATCTTTAAGTTTGGATTCCAATATTGTTGAATGGGTAAGGCAGTGGCTGAGTGACAGGCAACAGAGGGTTGTAGTTAATGGAATATATTCGAAGCTTGGACTTGTCACCAGTGGGGTACCTCAGGGATCTGTACTTGGACCCATTCTCTTTAATATTTTTATTAGTGATATTGCAGAAGGTCTTGATGGTAAGGTATGTCTTTTTGCTGATGATACTAAGATATGTAACAGGGTTGATGTTCCAGGAGGGATAAGCTAAATGGCAAATGATTTAGGTAAACTAGAAAAATGGTCAGAATTGTGGCAACTGACATTTAATGTGGATAAGTGCAAGATAATGCATCTTGGACGTAAAAACCCAAGGGCAGAGTACAGAATATTTGATAGAGTCCTAACCTCAACATATGAGGAAAGGGATTTAGGGGTGATTATTTCTGATGACTTAAAGGTAGGCAGACAATGTAATAGAGCAGCAGGAAATGCTAGCGGAATGCTTGGTTGTATAGGGAGAGGTATTAGCAGTAGAAAGAGGGAAGTGCTCATGCCATTGTACAGAACACTGGTGAGACCTCACTTGGAGTATTGTACACAGTACTGGAGACCGTATCTTCAGAAGGATATTGATACCTTAGAGAGGGTTCAGAGAAGGGCTACTAAACTGGTTCATGGATTGCGGGATAAAACTTACCAGGAAAGGTTAAAGGATCTTAACATGTATAGCTTGGAGGAAAGACGAGACAGGGGGGATATGATAGAAACATTTAAATATATAAAGGGAATCAACACAGTAAAGGAGGAGACTATATTTAAAAGAAGAAAAACTACCACAACAAGAGGACATAGTCTTAAATTAGAGGGACAAAGGTTTAAAAATAATATCAGGAAGTATTACTTTTACTGAGAGGGTAGTGGATGCATGGAATAGCCTTCCAGCTGAAGTGGTAGAGGTTAACACAGTAAAGGAGTTTAAGCATGCGTGGGATAGGCATAAGGCTATCCTAACTATAAGATAAGGCCAGGGACTAATGAAAGTATTTAGAAAATTGGGCAGACTAGATGGGCCGAATGGTTCTTATCTGCCGTCACATTCTATGTTTCTAATTGTTTCCTCATTTTTACTTGTGTTTCTTTTTGCAGGTTCTTGGCTGGGTGCTGTTTGTTGGGATTCTATCCTATGTTAAAGTCATCATCGGGATAATTCTTCGGGATGAAGGACACAGTGCCCTTGTGTGGTGTGGGGCTGTAGTGCAGCTTGGCTCCATGTTAGGTGCCCTCACTATGTTTCCCCTTGTTAATGTCTATAATGTTTTTCACTCAGGAAACCCATGCCACCACAACTGCCCCTCGTAAACCACAACTACAGCCAGAAAGCACAGCAGATAAAACACTGTATCCAGAGGGACTGTATTGAGAACCTGGAGGAGTTATATGGAGTAATAGGAGGAGTAATAGGAGTTATAGGGAGGTTATATGGCGTACTAGGAGGAGTTATATGGAGTAAAATCAGGAGTTATAGGGAGGGTTATATGGAGTAATAGGAGGAGTTTTAGGGAGTAAAAGGAGGAGTTATAGGGAGGGTTATATGGCGTAATAGTAGGAGTTACATGGAGTAATAGGAGGAGTTATAGGGAGTAATCGGAGGAGTTATATGGAAGGTTATATGGCATAATAGTAGGAGTTATATGGAGTAATAGGAGGGTATAGGGATAGTTCTATGGAGTAATAGGAGGAGTTATAGGGAGTAAAAGGAGGAGTTATAGGGAGTAAAAGGAGGAGTTATAGGGAGGGTTATATGGCGTAATAGGAGGAGTTATATGGAGTAATAGGAGAAGTTATAGGGATAGTTCTATGGACTAATAGGAGAAAAAAATGTATTACATTTTATTGCACCAATTACAAAACAGTGCTCAGTGTATCAAAAACATTTACAAAAGTTGAATTAAAAGCAAAATGTCACATCTATATTTTCCCAGTAATCTGTAATTCGTTCTTTTACATATACATCTTTTATATCTTTAATTATCCGATTAATTACACAATCATCGTTAAATGTATTTGTTTTGGTGATTTTTAGACACTTAGCATGCCAAAAATTATATATTACAATAAAATTAATTACATATAAAGTGCATTTGTTAATCTTATCTGCCCATTTGAAATCTCCATATAACAATTCAGCATATACTGTATATATATATTTGTGCTTGGAATTTAATACGTAATGGATAGTATCTGTAAGGACAAAGTTGGTTGTGGTGTGCCGAAACCAACGTACGAGTTGGCCTGTAAATAAAAGAGGGCAAAAGAGAAGTTCGAGAAAATAGACACTTTATTGCCTTTTTTACATAACCAAGTTCCTGACAGCTTGACGAAGCTCTTTTTCTGGTCGTGGTATATATGTATGATATATGGAGGATTTCCAACGACCCAGTCTCTTGATGATGTGGACCGGGGTGTTTGTGCTAGAGGCTGATGAAGCGGTTCCTATGCGGAAGGAGTGCCCAGAGAATGAAGCCGGATTGTAACTCAGTTTAGATAGTAACGATCTGCCGTGTGCCGTGAATTTAGCGGGTGCCCTTGTAGTGATAAGAGCGGAGAGTCTGGTAAGTGCACATGATGGGTTGACCTGAGGTGGTCTAGCGCCTTGACCGGACACCAGGCGTTAACGGTAGGAAAGAGAGGAATGATGGTGGGGTGTTGTGAGTAATTCGTTTTAGTTGATGGGAGCGTGAGTACATAGTGATCTTCTACCTTAGTGAGGTGTGAAGCTTTGAGGCTGTGCGTGATATCCCCTTGGCAAACAACGGTGAACTCTCTGAGTCTGAGAAAACTGTAGAAAGCAAGATAGATAGCAGATTTAATAACCAGGTTTGTGTTGGGATCGAACAGGGATTCATCAAGTAGATTGCTGAGTGCTCTAAAGATAGGCCCATCTATAGGCAGTCTTCTGGTGGTGAGTGGAACGGAAACCTTTAATATACCTTTCAAGACCTTTTTAATGGGATATGATGACAAGAAGGGGGTATTGTTAGGAAAATTGGTGAGGCTGTGTTGCTGAACCCCGGTGAGGTAAAGTTTAATGGTGTTGTGAGAAAGTTTAAGATATAAGTGGCAGAAAGAGGCAAAAGCCACCATGGTTTGTGTAGAAAAATCACCTTGTAAACCGAATTCTGCAGTGAATTTATAAAAAATGGTAAGTGCCCTATTGTAGGAGATAGCTATGTTAGGTGATAGTGCTTGGTGAGTGAGAGTCCTAGCATGGTGCATTAGTGTGCTCAATCCAGGATTGAGCCGTAGGGAGTGCCTGGAAGAATACCTGGAATTGAGAGCGAGAAATAGCATTAGCGGCTGTGTTGTGGATACCTGGGATGTGAAAACAAACTAAGTGAAACTGGACGGTTGCTGCGAGCCAGGTCAGCTTGCGAATCAGCAGCATGATGGAAAGTGAAGATGAGCGCCCCTTGTTTATGATATTGCAAACCGCTGAGTTGTCAGAATAGCATTTTACTGCCTTGCCGGACCAGAGATGACCTCAGGTGTGTGCGGCTGCCACAATGGGATAAATTTCGAATAGGGCTGAGGTCTCCCTGAATCCTGGCAAGGCATCCGCCTCAGCGGGCCAGTGACCCCTGAACCAGTGGTTCCCGAAGATGGCTGCGAAACCAGTGTTGGCTGCAGCGTCTGTGTGAATGATGGGTGAAGAAATGGAGAGAGGGGGGATAAACATGGAGATACCGTTCCAATCTGCCAAAAACTTCCCGCACGTAGCTAAGTCAGCCTTGGTGTGGGGGTCCAATGAAACTGGGCAGGAGTCCAGTACCCCATGGAGCAGGCAGAGAAGCCTGGATATAAATGACCTTCCCTGCGGAATGATGCACATGGCGAAGTTAAAGGATCCCAGAAAGGACTGAAGTTCCCTTTTGGTGCATATGTCACTCCGCAGGAACATGTCTATCTGCCCCTCTCAAGCGGATCAGTTTGTCGTGGGGAAGGCTAGCTCGGAGGGTAACAGAGTCCAGCTCTATCCCCAAAAAAGATAGTTTAGTTGTGGGGCCGATAGTTTTTGATGGGGATAATGGTACACCAAGTGTGGAGAAAAGTGCTGAAGTACTGTGGATAGCTGTGGGTGTTTGTGCCCCTGGTTCTATCAGTAAGAAGTCGTCTAAGTAATGGATGACAGAGTGACATCTGAGGATGTTCAGAAGCAGCTAGCAAAGAGTCTCAGCAAAAATATCAAACAGTTTGGGGCTGCTTCGAGAATCGAAAGTGAGTCGTGTGGAAAAGTAGTACTTTTCTCGCCATTTAACACCGTGAGTGAGGGGTACATGGGTAGTAATTTGAAAGTGTTTGTGATGTCCGTTTTGCTGAGCCAGGGGCGACTACCAGTTGAGATAATGGCTTGTATGGCGTCATCAATTTTTACGTACTGAAGTGAGAATTCGTCTGTGGGTATGAGTGCGTTAATGCTGGGAACAAAAGAGGAGTGCGGTGCTGATAAATTGATATTTAGCCATTTTTTATTAGAATACTTGTGAACTGCGATACCGATGGAATTAGTGCGCCATGAGGAAAACGGTGAGGAGGTGAAGGGGCCGATCATGAAACCGCTTGAAACTTCGGAGGAAAGGATAGTGTCTGTGAAAACTGGATCTTGGCAAGAGGTTGGGACACTCCAGTGTGCCTGAAGGGATGGCTACAAGACCCGTGAAGAAACCCTGTGTGAACCCCTTAGTCAAATACTCCACCAGATGCCTGCTAGGGTGTGTACTTAGGTAAAAAAACAGGTTGTCGACATTGATGTTGGTTAGTCACTTGTTAGGGGACAACCTGGCCGGGCACATGGTCTTGGTATGTGCCCTAAAGCATATGGAGCAGATGTGCAACAATCTACAGGCGCTGAAACTGCGTTGAAATTATTGCACACCTGAGCTCTACCCAGCTTATCCCGCTGATTTACTGCGAGGGGTGAAAGTGGGATGAGGGGTGGGAGTGGAGGTGGTAGGATGGGCTTCAGAGGGGCATAAGTCTGCCGTATGAGATGTAGAATTACATACGGCACAAGACGGGGGCCTGAGACCAGCGAAGTGGCAACAGAATAATTCTGTATCCATCTGACACCAGTTAATTCTGACATTAAACTGTTTCAGATGGGTCGCCGCCTTCGCTGATACCGACTTATGATAATCGTAAAAAGAGGAGCCCCCGTACTTGATGCCTAAATCCACCACCTTCTGGAGATAGAGGTCTAGCTCTTCTCTTCTGTGGGGATACACCGTGCAGATGACATCACGGTATATCCCGAAGGCTATCACAAACTGAGGGATGGATAGTTTCTTGTTAAGCCTAGGGTCTCTAGTCTTAAGCACCACTGAGATGTCCCCGTAATTGTATGCTCTGTTCTCCAGTACGTCTTGGGAGGTGTAATAACTGGCTGTGTTTTTCTATAGTTGAATAAGTCTTGTATGTATATATATATATAGATATTTCTTCTTGTCTTCAGTTTATTGATATATATACGTCTTGGGCCAAATGCTCGCCACAATAATATATGTCTATATTATTGAAAATTAGTAATACGCAATCTGACGTTCTTTATAAAAAATGAGTATTTATTCTACATTCAACAGGAAACAGTTATATATACTTAACAGATGGTAATTCTTAACGATGTTACAGAGAGTCGTCTTGACATCAGAGAGGAGAGCAAACGGATCGTAGCAGGAAGAGACCTGTAATCCTTTGTCCTTGACTCTATATACCCCAAATTACGTCATAATGTTTAGTTTAGACCCTGCCATATAAGGAAGTTCCCTATATAAAGACCGCCTCAAATCTCTTATACAGGAAATTCCAGAGACCTCATATTACAGAGTAGCAAACACCATCTGTTCTGTTTAACCCATTAGACAGCCACACCTTAATATGTATTTGAATAGGAACATACAGAATATGCAATATTCTACAGGAGGCTATGAGCAGAGACACCAGTCACACATCCTTCCTGTCTAGGATTTCTTTCCTGATGGAGTCTGGGACTGAGTGAGCTGGTGACTCGAAAGGAGTTGGAAAAGGAGCTGTTGCTGGCGCTGGGGAGGGGAGTGTGGGGGGGCATGGTGGTACAGCAGGGATTGCCGGGGTGGAGGCTGGGAGGCCTGGGGTTGTAGCGGATGGCACCAGGCGACCCTACAAAAATACTGTATAAAGCTGCATCCGTGTATCTGCTGTATTTTCTGTGTATTTAAAAAGAATTGTATTCCTCTGATTGTTCGGTAGTTTCATTCCCTTAGTTTATTCGAATGAAACTACCGAACAACCAGACCTCCCTGTGTGAAGTGTGTCCTCAATTACCCGTTGCAACATTGTTGCGAACGGGTAATTGAACAGTAAGTAGCCGTCCTTTTTAAAACTCCCGAACAGCGGTGTTTTGCCGTCGAGTGTCTGGAACTAAAATCGGACACTCGAGTAGGCGAACACCGCTGAGACCTCCACAGCCCTGGTCCGTTCGGTTCCAAACTACCGAACGGCCCCTCGTTCGGTAGATAGAGAATACCGAACGAGGGGATTCAGGCGAACCCTCCCTAGCCTCTATGGCTAGAGGCTTTCGTGTATTTTATTCCCTTATACCAGGACCGACCGCAAGGCCCATTCACATGGAACCGAATTCGGCTATCTCAGTTCGTGCGGTCGGTCATTTTATTCCCTCCATACTTTTCCCGAACCCCTGGTCTGATCTGGGTGATTTTTGGATATGTTGGTCACCCAGA